ATATATATATATATATATATATATATATATATATATATATATATATATATATCCTAAATTGTTTTGAAGAGGTTTAATGTTTTGCTTGATAGTTGAAATTAGGCTATATAGTTTAAATGTTACTGGGAAGCCTATGTTTATTGAAAATTACATTTGGAAATCATATGAAAAGAAAATTATTTCAGCTACTATAAACGCGTATTCTGAAATGTTTTTGTGTTTTAGTCATGAACAAATTGGTGTTGTGAACGAATCTTGTCTAAATCACTTCTATCATGCACTAAACTCGAGGCGGGCATATGGGGCGTATTTGTTTATCATGCGAGTCAACCAGGGGCCAGTTGCATAAACGTATTTAGACGGTGTCTTAAAGGGGTCATATGATGCGATTTCAATATTTCCTTTCTCTTTGGAGTGTTACAAGCTCTTGATGCATAAAGAAGATCTGTAAAGTTGCAAAGACTAAAGTCTCAAATCCAAAGTGATATTCTTTATAAAAGTTCAGTCAGCCACGCCCTCCTAAAACGGCTCGTTCTAACACGCCCCCACATGTCTACCTCACTATGTGGGAAGATTTGCATAACGCTGCCCAAATGTTCACGCAAACTTTTATTCTCGCTGTAGAATTGTTACCGCCGCCGCCGCCGCCATGTCGTGAAGACGCTGTGTTTTTCGTTGTGGGTTTGGTGACTTTAACGAGCGGTCTGTATGCAGGCATTAGCATGACAGTGATGTGGTCTGAGGCACTGAGGTGGGGGAGGGGAAGGGTGTAAACTCCTCTCTGTGTGGTGTAAACAAAGTCCAGAGTGTTGTTTCCCCGTGTTGGAAATTGTAAAAAATTACAATTACAGGAAATTACAAATGGTAAAAAAACATCAATCCGTTTTTAATTGCAAATGCAAAATTACAATGGTAAAAATTACCATTGTATGTAACTGAATTAAAAAAGTTATGACCAGCCTTGAAGAAAGAAAATTGGATGACTAACTTTTAAGACTAGTCTAAGTTTATGCAACTGATGCCCATACAGAATCAAAATGACGCAATGACGTTATACTGAAACACGTAATTTATTTAGTGAACTACTGAACAAATCTGAATGATTCTTTTTAGTGAACCGATTCAGGAGATTCGAATTAGTCGATGAATCCAAATCCTCACTACAAGTTTGCATGCACAGTCAAGCGTGCTCTTATTTTGTGCTCGATTTACAGCTGTGTTGTGGAGACCTCTAGTGGTTATGCTGTGGTATTTTTGATCAAACTGAAAGTGATATCACACTGACATACTGAAAAGCGCTTAAGGAAACGGTGCCACTGTATAAGAGGTTTAGCACTGTTGTTACAGGTACTAAAACAACACCGAACGACAGCGATATGAGCCGAATGCATGAAGAAGTGGAGGTATAGTATTTGTGATTCGTATAAACATACAGTTAAATGGCGTATGATATTTTATTGGAGACAATATGAGAGGCACGCTATTAAAGGAAGTATACTGCAGTAACTTCCTCAACAGTCATAGTGCATATTGTACGTAGTTAAAAACGGATTGATGTTTTCCTGCATGAAAGAATCAACTTCGTATTAATTTTAAGGGCCACACACGAGTCTCACTCAGTTTTATACTACGTGGTTGTTCTTTCAAATAAAGGTAAATAAAAGTAAATGTGTTTTTTGTTCTCTCTTGACTTAGTTGGAAAAAAGTGTCAGGCGACTGAGAGAGAGGTTTCATGGACTTGTTGAAATTGACATGGCTGTATTGCTCATGCGACGCTATGGAAACAACCATCGTATGGTTGCAATGTGTGTCGCCCTGATGGCAGATAATGAGAGGGGTAAAGTGCAAACCTTTTCTCCTATGAACTCTCATGAGTGTATTCTTTGCTGTTACTCACTCTACTATTTATGCCATTTCTATTTATTTCTTTTTTATATATTTTTTTGTTAATATGTGCTTTTTGTGTGTTTGTATTGACTGTACATCTTATTTATTTGTGTTTTTTCGTATGTAGAGCTGGACGAGGAAGACATGTCAGCTTTGAATAATGACCCTGTAGCTAAGGTATGGTGCAGGTTATGTAAATGTATGGAAAGAGCTTGTAGGTTTATTTTGTAGCAAAAAATTATTGGGTCACGTAAGGCACATTTAAAATACAGTGGGGCAAAAAAGTATTTAGTCAGCCACCAATTGTGCAAGTTCTCCCACTTAAAAAGATGAGAGAGGCCTGTAATTTTCATCAT